ATTTTATCAAAGTAAATCAAATGAATCATTAACTCAACCAGAAGAAAATAATAATTTTGAAATGGAAAATTATACCAGCAGTGGCAAGCTATTTACAAGTAAACTTCATCAATTTGATAATCTTCCTGAACCAAGAAATGCAACAGAAGGTATTTATTGCTTTTTGTTAATTGCTTAAATAGTTTATTAATATAATTAATTAATAATGTTTATTTTTTTTTTAATTTAAATATTATAATAGAAGAACAAGAAGGTATAAATTAAACAAATTCTTATATAATTTTAATTTATAAAAATTAATGATAACATGGTTAATTTTTTTATAGCATTTTATAGTAACAAATCATATAATTTTCATATTCCTAATAATGGTAAGTACAATTACATTTAGTTAAATATTATATAATGAAGCGTTATTTATTGACTTATTTTGCTTTTTTAGTTGATGATTTTGATAAATTAAGTAGTAAGAAAAATAGTACTTCAAAAATAAGTAGCTTATTTAAAGGTAATTAAATAGTATATTTTATTTTGAAATGAACGAATAACTTATATTTAAGATTATTTAGTTAGCAGCAAAAAGTTATCCAATATATTTAAAAGAAGCTCAAAAAATGGCAAGTAAAATAATTTAAAATATATTAATTTTATTATGATATTAAACATGATTTATTACTATCATTTACTAGATGATTATAAGATTGAGTCAATGCGAAAGCGAATAAAGAAACTTCATATTAGCGATAATGGTATGATTAAACAATTATTTAAATTATTAAAATAATTATTTTTTTGATTTTTTAATTTTAATTTATATTTGATAGACGAAGATGATACGTACAACAATCCGAATCTTCATTCAGAAGAACAAGATGAATTGGAACTTCCTAAGAATTTATTTTAAATGTTGAATTTTATTAACTTAAATTGTTACAATTTAATATTATAGATGCTTAGGTACAAATGTTGTATAAATTAAACGACACTTATACTGTACATCTTATTTTTTTTTTTTATCATGAATTATGATTATTAAGTATTTTTTTATTTTATTTTATTTTTTTATTATATATTATAAAATATCAGTGTGTAGTATAAATACGTTTTCGTTAAATAAATCAAATATATTTTATGAATTAAATTTTTAAATCATTTCATGTCCATACAAGCAACGTTTATATTTAAAGTGATTAACATTTAATAGTTATATAAAAAATTACGGTAGTCAGATGAATTGTCGCAAAATTTTTGGCCAGAATAATCAGGATTGTCATAATTCTGGGAGCAATCAGATGACTAATCACATGATGCTTATACATTATTGAAATGCTTCGTAACGACGTAACGTCCAACAGCTAAAAGATTTTGAAATTAAATTAAATTACATAATTTACTTCATTATTTAATTAGTTATAATTTTTTTTAAAAAAAAACATTTAATTTATAATAAAAATAATATTTTTCTATCTCGTATAAAACATTCATGAAACCCTATTTTTTCTTTTTAAAGGGTTAAAAAATAAAAAAAAAAAATACATTGCGTGTTAAGTTTAAGTATATTTAATGAACTTTATTTTAGTACAAAAAAAGAAATAAATAAATAAAAAATAAAAATATTACAATTAGAAGGAACAGATAAATAAATAATTTAGATGTAAAAAAAAAGCTTAATAAAGTTTAATTTATTGTATAATCAAGGAATTCCAAATAAATCACCTATTTGGAATCTCTAAATTCGACTATTTAATTATTTCTCGAATCTACTGAATATAATTTTATGGTCTTACAAGTATCAAATTTAAAAAAGAAGCTTAAGACGAACATTCTTTTTAAATCTGGTGATGTATTATAAAAAGTTTCTATGTAATGTTAAATAGTTTAGAAATAGTTACTAATTTTAATAAAGTTAGACATTAATTTCATTGCAAATATAAATTCGTCAAGGTGAAACTACGCAGAAATTTGGATAGAACGAACATTACACTAGTAAGTAAATGATTTGTAGGTTTCACTTAAATCAAGTATTATACATATAAAAAGTTTTGAATTTGAATCATTATACCTTGAATACAGTAAAAGTCTGTACGATTCAAATATGCAAAGAACTTTGTTGATCATTAAAAATTGATTACGACATTATTATTGGCATAGTATAACTTTCAAAGAACGCGAGTTTAAATTAAGTTTAATATATTTGTTAAAAGTATCACAGTAAAAGGAAAAAAGACTTGAGGCGATTTATTCACTTTAATAAAATGTAATGTGCAAAATATTTCTGAAATGATTTAAGAAAAATACTTGGGTTTATTACATATATATATAGTATATGTAGTACTTTATGATTTGGAATTAGATTTAACGCTACCTTATTTTAATTATTCGATTCATAACGATTATCTCAATGATAATGATTAGTTCCTTTAAAAATTCTTTTATTAATTGATTATTTTTTTAAAAAGCTAAATATATATTATTAATGATTCGAAATAATAAAGGCTTAAAAATAATACTGTATAGCAAACTCAATTTTTTAACATCGTCGTGTAAGTTATTAAAATCCGCAGTATAAATAAAATCCGTCCTTTTACAACATTGATATTTACAATGTATTTTAATAATTTCTTTTGCCTTATTTGTAAAAAAATTTCTGATTTCTTTAAATTCTATTTTTTACATTATAACCTTTAAAGACTGCTCGTCAAATTACATTTTATAAATAACTTATACTATTGTATCATGAAATCCATTTTAATATTTTAATACAGTATATTCCTGTAAATATTTAACTTTAAGTATCTACGTTAATATGGCGAGAGATCTTAATATCACATGATCAGAAAACAATCATCTTGTTACGTATACTACGATGTGAGTTATTTTAATTAATTTTTGAAATAATACAATTAAATCATAAAGGTACCACTAAATGGAATGAGGTTAGTTAAATATCATTTGTGGAAGATATTATTTCATAATTTTATAATTCGCTAAAATAGTAATACAGTAAGTATATCAGATGATATTGCGTCATTTAAGCTATTGCCTCAGTAAAAATTGTCAAAACTCGGCAGGAAGACTATTTTTGGGAACATATTTATAAATTATTAGATTATATAATATAAAGTAATTACAAATAGTAAAAATTTAAAAAATCAACAGATTATATGGTAAATGTTATAAGTGGTTGATTGTCATATATATACAATTCATATCGTATTATTGAAATGTTCAATGGCGTCACCATAGCAATGTTACTATTTGGATCATTATTACGTTGGTACGTTGGTACGAATTGTATGTGACAATCTCGTACCTGTAACCAAATACTAAACAAATACTATACATCTACTGTATATTTATTTCTATAATCCTTATATATTAAATTTTTAGGCAGTACTTTGTTTTTCACATAATTAATTTAGATAAATAGAATTAGTAGTGGTAGCCCGTTGATCCTGTTAGAGTACGTATAACAAGTCCAATATTTTGATACAGGCGTATCGTACAATTAATTTTATGTCATAGGAATCATGGGACAATCTAAAAGTGACAGTTACACCGATTTATTTTTATGTAGATTTCGATGTTAAAGATACTGGCTCAGCTATTTCTTTTTCTTTTTCAAATTTTATAAATAAACTTTTAAAGTTTTATAATATATTTTCACTTTCATTATATGTAAAAGTTTGTACTATAATTAATAAATCTTATGTATTAATCATAAAATTCACAATGATATATACAAACAATATTATATGAATTTAGAAAACAATTGATTCTTGATGACGATTCTTTTTACAGAAAATGAAAAATCTGAAATAATAACTAAATCTTATGATTAAGCAAAGATTGTTTAATAATAATAAAGAATTTATGAAAATTGTGACTAAGACAAATATTGTGAACGTTGTGTTTGAAATTATTTAAAAGCAAAATTTTCAAATTTGTCATCTGGAAATAATAATATTGATAATTTAATATAGATTGTTAATAAAAAAATATCATTATAAAATTGTAGAATGAATTCCATTTAATAATTTACAAAAATATTAAATATTTAACAAAAGGTAGAATTTATACAGCAGTGTAGTTTGGATTAAGAAAATTTTATTGAATGGGATTCTAAAAGCAAAAATTTTAAAAACTTGATCAGAAAGTAATACATATAAGGTTAGAAAATGTTGAAAGTGCAAGTCAAAATTGGTTTGAAGAAGTTTGTAATTTAAAATGTTTCAGTTAGCCAATAACATTATTAATCTTTTAAATACAATTTATTGTGGGTAAAATACACTTAAATATAAGCAGTAGATGCAATGATATCCAATCTTATGGTTTAACACAAGATTCATCAAATGAAAATTATATGATTGTTAGTTAAAAAAAAAAAGGATCGCAATATCGACAATGCAATTTAATTGGCAACTCGTAATGTCGAACAGAATCACGTTTCTTGAAAACCTTTGGCTAAATTAAATTTTATTCTTCGACTGTTTTGTTTTCTTAACACAAACATACTAAGTGCATCAATTTATTTCGCATTTTGATATTTCACGTCTATTTAATACATATGAATACATTAATTTAAAAATAGTTTAACTATTAATCGTTATTTGTTATTCCTTTTAAAGAGTTTAATTATCCGAATGAATTTTCTATAATCAACGATTTTTTTTCCTTTTGCATTCTTTTAATTTTTTTTTTTTAATAATAATTTTTACTATTACTACTACTACAGCTGTTACTATTATTGTTAAATTCATCTTTTAATACATAAGAGAAATTTTCTTTATCGACATATTTTAATTACATTATTACGTTAATACTCAACTCACATATATTAAATTGTTGTTCACTATAACATATTTTCAACGGCATGTTAGTGATAGGATTTTGTCCTTTTCTTTGTTTTCGATTTCATTACTAGTCTATTGTAAGTTAGCAATCTGGCTAAATTAATCGTTAAAACCTAATTAAGCAAAAACTCGGTTAAATTTCAAGAACAAATTTATCCAAAACGGAAAAAATTTTTTTTGGTTACCATATGATAAAAAAAGAATTTGATATAAATATATCACTTTATCAAGTCTTGGTTATATCAAGAAAATGAATTAATTTTTTAAATATTTTTTTTTTTTATTTATTATCAGCAAGAAAATTCATTTAATTATATTATAATATGATCTCGGAATTGTTCATCACCTTTCATTGATAGGTATCGTATTGATAATTTATGTGATACATTATTATTATAAATATTTTAATCGTATCAATCCTTTACCTGATTCTTTTCCATTCCCATTCTGGAAATTTACCTCAACTATATAAATATTGCATGGTGAAAATCTCATAAAATTTTTCGAATCTAATCATAAAAAATATGATGATTTATTTGAGTTCTATTTAGATACACACTTTATAGCTCTAAATCGAATAGAATATATTGAAAAACTTTTATTAGCCTCATCAAAAAATCTATATATTTAGGAAATTTTCTGATAAAAATTGTAGAGGATTTCATGAATTAGGGGAATATTATTAAATCTTGAAGATATAATCGACATCTTTTTTTTTTACACAATTTACACAAGCTATTTTAATCACCAAAATTTGTCAATGAAGCTCCTCGTTTGGTAAATAAACTTTTTAATGAAATTCGTGATATTTCTATATGGTTTAATCAATTACAAATGATATGATTATCCGAATTATTAACTGGTGAAAGATCTTATATTATAGCTGGATATTTTAACGAACTTACTAGTGAGAACGAAAAAAATGAACGTCAATCTGCACTAGTTGCTAAGACTGTAAAATTTGTTCGTGTAATTCGTAAATATTTTTTGGATTTATTAATGTTTCAATTCGTATCTTCATTTTAAAGACATTATTTTCCATATTTTAAGAATAAATCGGATATGATTTTATTCAAAGCGTCAAATTTATAAATCAAAGAATGAATACAATTATCAAAAAGATGTATGTAGTAGACAATACTCTATTAGATAAACCTTTACCAAATGACCTTTTGACATCGATGATCACTGCAAATATATCACGTGGTATAAATTATAATAAAATTGATGATAAAGAAGTTATGAGACCTATGACTGATCTTGAAATACGTGTTATTATTTTCAATGGAATAATTGCTGGAAATGATACTGTGAGTATATTTTTGGTACTGTACTTTTGTTAAATATTTGAAATATTTGACAAAATTTTTGGGTTGTATATTATTTTAAAATTTTATTTTTTTCTTCAATAGACTGATACTATTTCATTCATTGTCTATTATCTTGCAAATTATCCAGATGTTAAAAAGAAAATTTTGAACGAAATCGATAGAATCTTCAAGATGACAAGACACGTCCAGTTACCGAAAATGATTTTCATAATTTAATGTATCGTGAAGCGATTGTAAAAGAAGTATCTCGCATTTCCTCAGTCGTAAATTAAGATCATGATGAAATAGGGGGGTATCAATGTGAAACAATTATTAGTTGATGGTATTCATAATAATGAAGAATATTGGGAAAGAACCAAATAAATTTTATTCTGATAAATGGATGATTGAAGGTTAAGAAAAATTCATTTATTTCGTTTGGTGGAAGTCTAAGAGTTTGTCCAGGAAGAAAGTTGGTAATGATTGAATTAATTTGTTTAATGACTTTATTATTTATAAAATATGAAATTGATTTAATAGATAATAAAGCTCCTTTAAAAACTGAATTAGGTATTATAGCTGCCTGTACTGAATTATTAATTAAAATTAAATTAAGAAATTTAAAACATTTTTATGAGTATTTAAAAGAATGAATAATATTTAATAATAACGTAAATTGAATTTTTCAATCATATTTAAAAGTAAAATAAAGAAAAAATCTTTTATTACATATGTGAAATTGACATTTGTTAAATTTTTTTTTATTTTGATACTGATTAATTTGAACTCTGGATACCAAATTCTTATGACGTTATACTGTTAGCAAACATATTTTTCATTAATAATTATTACAAGAGTAATAAAAGATTTCAAACTATAAAAAAAAACTCTTCCTTTCGATCGAGACTTAACCAAACATTTTATGGTCAAAAAAAATGACAATAAGTTATATGAAAAAATTGAAGAATTTACAAATTTTATTAATTTTTGAGTCTATCCTTATTAAAATCAACTTTTGTTATCCTTTTATTATAGATTATGTATATTTTTTGAATTTTTTTTTTATTTTTGGAAAATAAAGAAATATCGACCAAACCGGCCAACGATGTTTCAACAAAAAGTTGAAATATTTTGGAAAATGATAAAGAAGTTCAAGCCTTTTTTTTTTTGATAAAAAGTTCAATAAGGGTGTTTTTATTTAACTTTTATGGAGTAAATAAAGAAAAATTTTCAACCTGCTGCGGGTGGCGAAGTAAAAATGATAGTCACATGGTAACCATAAATAAAGAAAGTGTGATTAAATAGATAGTGGAACAAGAAGTCACCTTGCAGATCCTTAGATAAGTACGGAAAAATAATTTAATATTCCAAAAAAAAAATTTTTATTGTCAAGTGAAAGATTTTATTTGTAGCTGCGGGACTTTTTCTGGAAGGTTTGTAATATTTAAAGTTTTTTAAATTATAAAACAAATCACTGGGATTATATTACTAGTATGTGGCGTATGCAGTGCTTAATATTAGCCTTTTACGTCTACGTAATTGAGAAGTGTGACATTAGCATAGTTTCTTGATGATTTTTATTAAATAAAAAAAAAAAATTTAACCTATCAAATTAGTAATTTATATAATGACGACTTCTTTTTTTCTTTCTTTTTTATGTAACGTTGATTTGCATGCATATCACAAATTTAGGTAGTACAATGTTGTTTATGTAACATTCATTTTGGTTATACATTACTATTTTAATCTGTATAACTTCGGAGTTAAAACGCCGGTTTCAACCTTTTCTTTTTTTTTTTATTTTAAAAAATTAATAAGCATATTTTTATAAAAGAATTTAAAGCCTTATAAAATATTCATTATGTCATATGGTGAAAATAAATCAATTAATAATGCACTTAATAGGTCATATGCATTATTAGATAACACTCTTAATAGTGATACATTTTATGAACTTAGAAAACAAATACTTCTTGATGATGAATCACTTACGGAAAATGAAAAATCTGAAGCAATAAGAATAATAACTAAAATTTATGATTATGCCAAACTTCTTTTTAATGAAGGAACAAAAAGAATTTGTGAAAATTGTAGCCAAGAATGTTTAGCCATAACATATTGTGAATATTGTGTTCGAAATTATTTAAAAGCAAATTTTTCAAATTGGACATCTGGGAATGTTATTATTGATAATTTAATACAAGAATGTCAAATGAAGACAATTAATCCAGACTTAATACCAGAATGGATTCCATATAATAATCTACAAAATATTGAATATCTAACAAAAGGTGGATTTTCAGAAATTTATACAGCAGCCTGGATTAATGGAGCATATTATGAATGGGATTCTGAAGGGCAAAAATTAAAAAGACTTAGAGAAACTGGTTTAGTACAAGCAGTAATACTTAAAAAATTAGAAAATGTTGAAAATGCAAATCAAAATTGGATTGAAGAGGTTTGTAATCTAAATATTAAAATAGTTGCAAATTAATTTTTTGTTTAAAATTTTATAATGGTTTATTTTATAGGCTAAATCACATTTAAATATAAGCAATAAATGGGGCGAGATTGTCCAATGTTATGGATTAACACAAGATCCATCAAATGGAGATTATATGCTTGTAATGAATAAGATGAATATAGATTTAAGAAAATATTTACAACAAAATCATAATCAACTTACATGGAAAGAAAGAATTCAAATTGTTACTTATATAACTCTTGCACTTCAAAGAATTCATGAAGAAAATGCAATTCATAGAGATTTGCATTCTGGAAATATATTATTTAAAAATAGATTTAGTATTAGTGATCTTGGATTTTGCGGACCTGCAGATAAACCATTAAAAAGTATATATGGAAATCTTCCTTATATAGCACCTGAGGTTATTATTGGAAAAGAACAAACTTTTAAATCTGATATTTATAGTATTGCAATACTTATGTGGGAAATTTCATCTGGACAACCACCATTTATTGATTGTGAACATGATTATGATCTTGCTATGAATATTGTTAATGGCATAAGACCAAAAATTGTACCAGGAACTCCTTTAGAATATAAAAATTTAATGAAACAATGTTGGGATGCTGATCCATCAAAAAGACCTGATATTAATACACTTGATAATAAGATGAGAGAAATTAATTTATTTTATCAAAGTAAATCAAATGAATCATTAACTCAACCAGAAGAAAATAATAATTTTGAAATGGAAAATTATACTAACAGTAGCAAACTATTTACAAGTAAACTTCATCAATTTGATAATCTTCCTAAACCAAGAAATGCAACAGAAGGTATTTATTGCTTTTTGTTAATTGCTTAAATAGTGTATTAATATATTTAATTAATAATGTTTATTTTTTTTAATTTAAATATTATAATAGAAGAACAAGAAGGTATAAATTAAATAAATTCTTATATAATTTTAATTTATAAAATTAATGATAACATGGTTAATTTTTTTATAGCATTTCACAGTAATAAATCATATAATAATTTTCATATTCCTAATAATAGTAAGTGCAATTACATTTACTTTAAATTTTATATAATGAAACGTTGTTATTGACTTATTTTGCTTTTTTTAGTTGATGATTTTGATAAATTAAGTAGTAAGAAAAATAGTACTTCAAAAATGAGTAGATTATTCAAAGGTAATTAAATAATATATTTTATTTTGAAATGAACGAATAACTTATATTTAATATTATTTAGTTAGCAGCAAAAGGTTATCCAATATATTTAAAAGAAGCTCAAAAAATGGCAAGTAAAGTAATTAAAAGTACGTTAATTATAATATAATTTTATTAATATTAAATATGATACAATTTTTTTTAGATACTCAAAATGATTATAAGATTGGAGCAATGCAACAGCAAACAATGAATCATCATATTAAAGATAATGGTACATAAACAATTCTTATAATAATTACTTTATATTATTATTTTTTTTCATTGATTTTTTAATTTTAATACATTATATATTTGGTAGATGAAGATGAAGCACATAACAATCCAAATCTTCATTCAGAAGAGCAAGATGAATTGGAACTTCCTGAAGGTAAGAATTTGTTTTTAAATATTAAATTTTATTAACAATTACATAATTTAACAATATTTTTTTTTTTATAATAGATATTTAGATACACATTATATAAAATAAACAATATTATTACGTCTGATTTTTTTTCTTATCATAAATTACTTAAACGTTATCGTTAAAGAAATCTAAATTATAATTAAAATCATTCAAAAATGAAGTCTATCCCCCGAATATAAACAATTCGAAGTAACTAAAATCATCCAAAGAGGTACTGGTGAAGGATTTCATATGGAATAATTTTGAGATCTAGTACGAGGGATATAACTTTGATGAGTTATTTTTTTTTTCAAGATTCTTGGTTGTAATCTGTTTATTATTTTTTTTTTTATATNTTGAGATCTAGTACGAGGGATATAACTTTGATGAGTTATTTTTTTTTTCAAGATTCTTGGTTGTAATCTGTTTATTATTTTTTTTTTTATATTATTATATTATGACATGTTTTTATAAAATAAATTAAATAAATTACATATTTTTAACATATAAATTTTTATAAACATTTTACGCACATACGCACGGCAATAAAAATTAAAAAATGGTGAAAAAAGTTTGAAAGTTTGAAAAAAGTTTATTAATCCAAGTTTTCTACATTGAACTATAATAATGTGACATAGTTATGATTATATAACATGTTTATATTGTACAATATATAGCGTGGGTGTGTAAAACTGCGTTAAGAAAAAATAAAAAAAATGCTTACGTTCTAACTAATGAAATATTGTCCCGATTTTTTATCTACTGTATTACTAACGAAATTTTAAGTAAATCTGTATCTTTATTGACAATTTATTTTTTTTTCGTTCTCCAGTTTTTAAAAAACTGGATTTTTTTCTTTTTCTTAAAAATAAAAATTTTTTTTGTTCTCTTCAGTTTTGTTTAAACTCGGATTTTTTTAAAAAAAATTTTTTCTTTCTTCCGGTTCTTTTAAAACTGGGGTTTTTTTTAATAATATTTTTTTTTTTTTTCCTTTCGCGGTTTTCTAAACCGGATTTTTTAATTAATTAATTTATTTTTTTCGTTTTTCTTTTATCCTTTTTTCTTTTTGTTCTTTTCCCCTTTAGGTTTGGATCAGTGATCGGTGAGCTTACATTTTATTTATAATTTTTTTTATTTTTTTTTTCTACCTTTTTTGCCTGGATCGGTTGATCAGATCGAAATAAAATAATTTGTGATTTTATTCAGTTAGAATAACCAAATATTATTTTATAAAAATAAAATAAAATATCTAGACAAAAAAAAATAAAATAATTTTTTATTTAATCTATAATTAATAAAATTTTTGTATTATTAAAAGATTTTTTTTGCTACTATTTTTTTTTTATTGTTTGTTTTTTATTGTAGTAAATTTTTAATTATATAAAATAGGGCGTATGAATTAATCCTGTTGCAACGCAACAGGCTACAGCTAGTATATTCCTATAAAATATTACAAGAGAGATCGTAATATCACATGATCAGAAAACAATCATCTCGTTACGCTAACTATCGCTATTACGATGTGAATTATTTTAATATTAATAAAATAATACAATTAAATCATAAAACTACCGCTAAATGGAATGACCATAGTTAAATATTAGAATATTATTTCATAATTTTATGATTCGTTCGTAAAATAGTAATACAGTAAGTATATCAAATATTGCGCCGATGCTTAAATAATTACGAATAATAAAAAATAGAGTACATCGCAATGTTGTTATACAACTCATACCGATGTAACAACGTACTATTAATATGTTAACACTTGTTGCCATCGCTGGCGCAACCATAGCATGTTGCTCTCATACCCGTAACCAAATACTAAATAAATACTAAACATCCGTGTTGTACTACTGCCTTGTACCCATAATCCCTATAATAAATTTTTTAGGTAGTACTTTGTTTTTCATTTTTGTTACACATAATTAATTCAATAAATAGAACTAGTGGTAGCCCGTTGATCCGTTGGAGTACGGAAAATTATTATGATAAATCAATATTTGATATCATACAATTAATTTGATGTCAGGACAATTTAAAAGTGTATATCAGCTCAGACATTACTTTTCTTTTCAAATTTATAAATAAACTTTTAAAGCTTTATAATATATTATCGCTTTCATTAATCAAAAGTTTATGTATTACTATATCACAAAATTCATAATGATACACAAACAATATGATGAAAAATTTTAGATTATTTACAATAAAGGAAACAAAAAGAATTTGTGAAAATTGGAACCAAGAACGATTTTTTGTTATTTTACATTAATTTTTTTTTTCTTTTCAATAATTTCTACTATTACTACTACTACTGCTATTACTTCTATTATTCAGTTATTAAATTCATCTTTTAATACACATGAGAAAGTTCTTTTGTCAACATATCATAATTAACATTATTATGTCAATATTCAACTCACATATAAATAGTTATTTACAATAACATATATTAAACGGCATATTTAGTTATTTAGATACGAATAATACGATAGGGTTTTGTCCTTTCCCATTACTAGTCTATTATAGGTTAGCAATCTGGCTAAATTAAGTAGATCGTGATCGTCTGATACCTAATTAGGTTAATTCCAAGTACAAATTTGTTCGGAACGGAAAAAAAAAATTTTTTTTTGGTTACTATATGATAAAAAAATTTCATATAAATATCAAGTCTTGGTTATATCAAGAAAATAAATTAATTTTTTAAATATTTTTTTTTTTATTTATTATCAAACAAGAAAATTCATTTAATTATCATATTAACAATATGATCTCGAAATTGTTCGAAAATTTTGATTACCTTTCATTGATAGGTATCACATTAATAATTTATGTGACACATTATTATTATAAATATTTTTATCGTATCAATCCTTTACCTGGCCCTATTCCATTCCCATTATTTGGAAATTTACCTCAATTATATATTTGGCATGGTGGAAATCTTAAAAAATTTTTTGGATCTAACCATAAAAAATATGGTGATTTATTTGAGTTCTATTTTAATGGACGCTTTATAACTTTAAATAAAATAGAATATATCGAAAAACTTTTATTGGCTTCATCAAAAAATCCATATATTAAGAAATTTTCTGATAAAAATTGTAGAGGATTTCATGAATTAGGGATAATGGATAAGGGAATATTATTAAATCAAGATTATAAATCATGGAGATATAATCGTAATTTTTTTTCACAAGCTATTTTATCACCAAAATTTGTCAGCGAAGCTCCTCATTTGATAAATAAACTTTTTAATGAATTGGAAGGTTATTGGGATAAATTATATATTAAAGAAGAGGTTATCAATGAGAATAGAAATAAAATGGATGTTTCTACATGGTTTAATCTATTTACAAATGATGTGATTATCACATTATTAACTGGTGAAAGATCTTATACTATGGCTGGATATTTTAATGAACTTAGTGATGATGAAAAAGCTGAACGTCCATCTGCATTAATTGATGAGACTGTAAAATTTGTTCATGCGATTCGTAAACATTTTTTGGGTTTATTAATATTTCAATTCGTCCCTCCTTTTTTAAGACATTATTTTCCATATTTTAAGAATAAATCTGATGATATTCTTCAAAACATCGAATTTATAAATCAAAGAATGGATGCAATCATCAAAAGACGTAGAGAAGAAATTGAAAATACTCCATTAGATAAACCTTTATCAAACGACCTTTTGACATCGATAATCACTGCAAATACACCTCGTGATATTAATTATAATAAAATTGATGATAAAGAAGTTACGAGACCCATGACCGATTCTGAAATTCGTGTTATTATTTTCGATGGAATAATTGCTGGAACTGATACTGTGAGTATTTTGTAAATATTTAACAAAATTTTTGATGAATATTATTTTAACGTCTTATTTTTTCCTTCATTCTTTCCTTCAATAGACTGCGAATACTATTTCATTCATTGTCTATTATCTTGCACATCATCCAGATGTTAAAAGAAAAATGTTGAACGAAATTGATAGAATCTTTCAAGATGATAAAACGCGTCTAATTACCGAAAATGATATTCATAATTTAAAATATTGTGAAGCGATTGTAAAAGAAGTATCTCGTATTTTTTCAGTTGCAAATTCATTTTCAAGATGTCTTGAAAAACCTGATGAAATAGGAGGTTATCAATGGCCAGCTGATACAATCATTAGAATTAATATTGATGCTATTCATAATAATGAAGAATATTGGGATGAACCTGAGAAATTTAATCCTGATAGATGGATGGTTGAAGGTTTTGAACCAAAGAAAAATTCTTTTATTATGTTTGGAGGAGGATTAAGAGTTTGTCCAGGAAGAAAATTGGCAATGATTGAATTAGTTTGTTTGATGGTTTTATTATTTAGAAAATATGATATTGATTTAATAGATAAGAAAGCTCCTTTAAAAACTGAATCAAGTATTATAACTGCATGTACTGAATTATTGGTTGAAATTAAATTAAGAAATTAGTAACATTCCCGTCAGTAGTATTTAAAATGCTATAATTTATTATTAAATTGAATTTATAATTATATTAGTACTTAAAATTTATAACGAAAAAAAATCTTTTTATCATATGTATGAATTTTGATATTTATTAAAAATTTTTTTTGATTTTGATTTTGATTTGAAAGTTGATATTTAATAAAAGTAAAACTAAAAATTAAATATTCTACGGAAATATATCGATTTAATTCAGATATTATGTTTTATGTATTTGCTATTACGTGAATCAAAATGATATTTTTGCGCTATTGTTAGTTTGTCCCATTTCAATTACTGCTAGTTCTGCTAAAAACAAATAATTTTAAAAAATTTTTAATATCGGATTCGTCAGGATCCTGAAATATACTGTACAAAAGTTCTGAGTTTACGTAGAGTGGAATAATACTGGTCAAAACTTTATTACCATTTTTATTAATTCCAGCCCTGAAAAAGTGTATACAATGGACTACTACTGGATCTGGCCTCAGTCTATATATTATATTTCGGGTCCTGATTCGTTAATCTTTATTATTATAATTTTTTTTTTAATAAAACATAAATAAACTAAGTAATTTTTGATACATCAATAAGTCTATGACTTTTAACATTGTATTTATAGTACAATAATACATAAAATTATTTTCCGAAAAAAAAAATTTAAATATCCAATCAAAAATTAGCCAATCAAAAACCAACCGATCGATTTGAGGTCTGGGTAATGAATAGATTCATATTTTATTATGATAATATTAATTACAAAGTAATAAATTCACATTTATAATGATATTATTGATTATAAAGTAATAAATTATATTTTTGATATTATTATATGTTATAACTATAATTGCATAAATGATAATAATTGTAAAATATTATCAAAATCTACTCTTGATAGCAAAGTATACTAACAAATTAAACAATATACATTAATAAAATATAGTAATAAATAGTACTAAAATTTTTTTTTTTTTTTTTTGAAATGTAGACCGAGACGGGAGTTAAAACGAGTTTATGGATCGAGTCCTTAACGAAGGAGCAACAAACACCACCCGTACACGTATGAACGCAACTTCCTCCTAAGAAGAAATCGCCTCGCCTGTTATTGAAAAAAAAAACAACACTAGGTATGGTCAACACTGTCTAAGATCGAACGTAAAGAGAAAAAAGAAGAAAAAAAATTATATACATGGAAAGAATTTGCTAAAGTAAAATTTATATAAGAGTTGTAATGAAGAAAAGAGGCCCATCCACCAGAATGCAAATAATTCGAGGTAATCAAGACCAACCACAGAGGATCGGAGAACCGAGTGATGCGTCGGGAGTACCGTCCGGAATGATAAAAAAAGGATGTTGTCGAGAAGAAAATCCGGATGACTGGGCGCGTCAGTGACACGGACACGGCTCGCATTCCTGCGGTAGAGGTGGTTTGTTGGAAGAATTAAGTTTAAGTTTTTTAGGACGCTTTCGTTTATCTTTTCTTGATATGTTTCTTGCTCGTTCCCAAGCATGAAGCTTGTCATTATTTGGAATCCAAATTTCTTTAATAAAGTAATTGAGAAATGAGGACATTAATTCAAAAATAATTTTCCGAATAATGGTCATACCATAGAGTTCTTGCAGAATTAGTTGATTAATTCAAAAGATACATCGTGTGTATTGCTAGTGATGGTAGTGAATAACAATAAGTGATTGATGCAGTGATGCTATATTTAAGAAATTTGATCGAATTCGGGTCCGGGAGGTAAGAAGCCATCGAATTATAAAGAATCGTTTTTAAATAGGACAAATGCGTTTGCAGTGATATTCGTAACGGAGAACAAAGACCTAGATGGCCATTAGTGTCTAAATGTTGACGACAAATCGTAAATAGTACTGAAAGTCTAAAATATAAATATAATAACAGATAACGTAAAAAATTCGTTAGAGTCACGTGACATGTGATTATCTCGTGATACAAGCGCGAAAAAAAAAAAATTGATAGATGTCAAATTCATTCATAGTATCGTGATAAAAGATTTTTTTATTTTACTTAATATGATTTAAAAATTCAATAAATACTGCGTATCCTTTAAATATCTACGAATATGTTATTTATTTATTTTCTTAATTTAATTTCAACTAATAATTCGGTACAGGTAGTTATAATACTTGATTCAGTTTTTAAAGGAGCTTTCTTATCTATTAAATCTATATCATACTTTCTAAATAATAAAGCCATTAAACAAACTAATTCAATCATTGCCAACTTTCTTCCTGGACAGACTCTTAATCCTCCTCCAAACATAATAAATGAATTTTTCTTTGGTTCAAAACTTTCAACCATCCATCTATCAGGATTAAATTTATCAGGTTCATCCCAATATTCTTCGTTATGATGAATAGCATCAATATTAATTCTAATCATTGTTTCGGCTGGCCATTGATAACCTCCTATTTCGTCAGGTTTTCCAAGACATCTTGGAAATGAATTTACGACAGAGAAAATACGAGATACTTCTTTTATAACCGCTTCGCAATATTTTAAATTATGAACATCATTTTCGGTAATTGGACGCGTTTTATCACCTTGAAAGATTCCATCAATTTCGTCCAACATTTTCTTTTTAACATCTGGATAATGTGCCAAATGATAGATAATGAATGAAATAGTATTCGCAGTCTATTCAAGGAAAGAATAAAACGTTAAAATAATATTCAAAATCAAAAAATCAAAAAATTTTTTTTTTAAATATTTGACAAAAGTACAAAAAATATACTCACAGTATCAGTTCCAGCAATTATTCCATCAAATATAATACCACGAATTTCAAGATCAGTCATAGGTCTCATAACTTCTTTATCATCAATTTTATTATAATTAATATCACGAGGTGTGTTTGCAGTGATTATCGATGTCAAAAGGTCGTTTTGTAAAGGTTTATCTAATGGAGTATTTTCAATTTCTTCTCTACGTCTTTTGATAATTGAATCCATTCTTTGATTTATAAATTTGATGTTTTGAATAAAATCATCAGATTTATTCTTAAAATATGGAAAATAATGTCTTAGAAAAGGAGATACGAATTGAAACATTAATAAACCCAAAAAATGTTTACGAATTGCATGAACAAATTTTACAGTCTTATCAATTAATGCAGATGGACGTTCAGCTTTTTCATTCTCACTAAGTTCATTAAAATACCCAGCCATAGTATAAGATCTTTCACCAGTTAATAATGCGATAATCATATCATTTGTAAATTGATTAAACCATGTAGAAACATCCATTTTATTTCTATTCTCATTAATAACTCCTTCTTTAATATATAATTTATCCCAATAACTCTCCAATTCATTAAAAAGTTTATTTATCAAAAGAGGAGCTTCATTGACAAATTTTGGTGATAAAATAGCTTGTGTAAAAAAATGACGATTATATCTCCATGATTTAAAATCTTGATTTAATAATATTCCCTTTCCCATTATCCCTAATTCATGATATCCTTTACTATCATTATCAGAAATTTTTCTAATATATGGATTTTTTGATGAAGCCAATAAAAGTTTTTCAATATATTCTAATCTATTTAAAGCTATAATTCGTGTATCAAAATGTAATTCAAATAAATCACCATATTTTTTATGATTAGATTCGAAAAAATTTTTAAGATTTCCATTATGCCAAATATATAATTGAGGTAAATTTCCAAAGTATGGGAATGGAAAAGGACCAGGTAAAGGATTGATACGAGTAAAATATTTATAATAATAATGTGTCACATAAATTATTAATGTGATACCTATTAATGTAAGGTAATCAAAATTTTCGAACAATTTAGAGATCATTTTATTATACTTTATAATAATAAATAAAGGAAAAATTTTAAATTTTTAAAAAAATAATAATATTTTCTTGATATAACCAAGACTTGTGAAAGTGATGTATTTATATTAAATTTTACCATATGCATGGTAAAAAAAAAAAAAAATTTTTTTTTCCGTTCCGATAAATTGATAAATTGATTAACCGAGTTTTCGCTTGATTCATTGAATTTCAGATCACGGTCCGCCAAGATTGTTAACTTATAATAGACTAGTAATATATAAGGAATTTAACTAATATCCGTTGTATATACGGTATGGTGAATAAAATATAGTTAATACGATACTCATGCAAATGGGATTATGTCATACCGCATCATCGAGATCGTAAGCAAAAAAAAATACATAATGCGCAGTTTTATTTCTTTTTGATACTTTAATTTGGGAAACAATGCAATTATGATATGTCGGTAAAGAAACTTTCTCTTATATATTAAAGGATGAATTTTAATAGTAATAATAGTAGTAGCGAAAAGTCGTAATAATAGAACTCATTAGATCGCCGATTATAGAAATTCATTCAGATAATAAAATTCTTTAAAAGGAATAATGAATACGGATTACCCATTTTAGGTTAATTTTTTCATTATATTAATAGACATGTGGAATATTAAAATGTTGAAAAATTTAACCAATGATTTTTAAAAACGTGATTCGTCATTTATTACAGTTAGACAAGATCAGGGTTGCTGCGTTATCGATATTGCGATCTTTTTTTTTTTTTTTTAACAAATTATTTAGTTTCAAAAGGATACACATTTTTATTGAAAATTTCGAATTACGTATATTTTCCGTTCGATACTTCATTTACAGCTGTATATATAATCATTATTATAATGAACTTTTTTTTGACTGTTTCTATTAAGTTTACTTGGAATTTCAAAGAAGGTATTCAATTTCGTTTTCCTAAAATATTTACTTTTAGAAATTTTATGAGATTGGCAAAAATAAGGGGTATAGCTCTTGGGCTGTATTATAATGGTTATGATAGGTTAATCGCATAAAATACGGTAATTTTATATTTTAAAAAGTTTTTTACTTCAAATCACTGGGGGTGATCATCACCGTTGGCCAGAATTATCAATTTTTACCGGCACTATTTTTTTAATGCTGGTCGATCGTCATAATTTCAGTCACCGGTGATCATCACCCCCGGTGATAGTTAGAAAAATTCTTTTAAAAAATGTTGATTTTTTTTTCTTTCATTTTATTATCATATTTTCTAATCGTTTTATTTTCAGTTTGAAACATTAAGAAATACTATAAGTCAGATTTGTTTGATTGTTAACCTTATTCTTGGTCTCATAAAAAATTAATTTGCCGATTATATTCAATATATTTATTCTGTTAAACAAAATTATTTTAACTAACACATTATCTACAATAAATTGGATCCGCTTATTTTTCTTATATAAGTTTTATTTTATCTATATGTGGGTTTTGAACTAAAAGAAAAATTCATTTATTTTTATCAAATATCAACTTTGAAGGAAGGAATGAATTATTTTGGTAAATCAAATGGTAAAAGTTGTAAGAAATAATTGTAGAATTACTCAATACTCAGAAATAATTCGAACAACTACTTACTTAACACTGCCTCTATTAACACTTCAGTATTATTCACCAAGAATCAAAGTTGCCGGACGTTAGTAATAATTACGGTCAAAATTATGAATGTGATTAAAATCACACTATCACGGCATGTCATAAATTTAGTGCAGTAAAAACTGAATAATCAAATTCTGGCCAAAATTAGACAAGCAAAAATTAAAAATCTAATCCCAGCTATTTTGTTAAGCGTGTACGGGTCCTATTGACCGAAAATATTTTTTTTTAAAAAATCATTATATTATATATTTAAAAAAAAAAAAGTTTAGGACATAGTTTAATACTAGGTAACGGGGACCGTTGGAGCGTTCGAAACGTCGATGAATTATTTAAGTATTACAATTTTTAAAATAGTAACATAGTAAGTAGTACGGTAATAGTTACACTTTTAAACTATTTTATAATAAATAAATTATTTAATTATTGTTATTGTTGCTATGACAAACGGACATTGCATGTCTCGAGTCTAACTTATAGTCCTACGTTACGCTTACGCTTCGGACAAACTAAATATATAATTAACATAAAAAAAAAATTCCGGGATATAACCTGATTAACCTCGTGATTATAATCTATCCCGTGATTATAAGCATCTGGACGTTTCACGACGTACGATTTTTCCGCGTAACACAATCGAAAAAAAAAGTTGATAAATATAAAGAATTTTTTTTTATTTTACTTTATAATATGATTGAAAAAGTTTAATTTGATTTTACTAAATAAATATCTAAGAAATCTAAGAAATTTTCTAATTTCTTAATTTAATTTCAACTAATAATTCAGAACAAGCTGTTATAATACTTGATTCAGTTTTTAAAGGAGCTTTCTTATCTATTACATCAATATCATATTTTCTATATATTAAAGCTATTAAACCAGCTAATTCAAGCATTGCCAACTTTCTTCCTGGACATAGTCTTAATCCTCCTCCAAACATAACAAATGCTTTTTTCTTTGGTTCAAACCCTTCAACCATCCATCTATCGGGATTAAATTTATTTGGTTCATCCCAATAGTCTTCATTAAGATTCATAGCATCAATATTAATTCTTAACATTGTATCAGCTGGCCATTGATAACCTGCTATTTCATCAGGTTTTTCAAGACATCTTGGAAATGAATTTACGACTGGGAAAATACGAGATACTTCTTTTATAACCGCTTCACAATATTTTAAATTATTAATATCCTTTCTGGTAATTGGACGTTTTTTGTCACCTTGAAAGTTTCTATCAATTTCGTCCAACATTTTCTTTTTAACATCTGGATAAAGTGAAAGATAATAGATAATGTATGAAACAGTATTCGCAGTCTATTGAAAGAAAGAATAAAGCGTTAAATAATATTAATAATCAAAATTAATTATATATTGAAAGTACTAAAAAATATACTCACAGTATCAGTTCCACCAACTATTCCATCAAATAAAATACCACGAATTTCAAGATCAGTCATAGGTCTATTAGCTTCTTTATCAACAATTTTATTATAATTAACATCACGAGGTGTATTTGCAACAATTACTGAAGTCAAAAAGTCACTTGGTAAAGGTTTATCTAATGGAGTATCTTCAATTTCTTGTTTACGTTTTTTAATAATTTCATCCATTCTTTGATTTAAAAATTTGAGATTTTGAAGAATATCATCAGATTTTTTCTTAAAATATGGAAAATAATGTCTTAAAAAAGGAGATACGAATTGAAACATTAATAAACCCAAAAAATGTTTATGAATTGCATTAACAAATTTTACTGTCTCATCAATTAATGCAGATGGTCTTTCAGCTTTTTCATCATCACTGAGTTCATTAAAATATCCTGCCATTGTATAAAATCTTTCACCAGTTAATAAAGCGAAAATCATATCATTTGTAAATAAATTGAACCATACAGAAATATCCAATTTATTTCTATTCTCTTTTATAGCATTTTCTTTAAGATATAATCTATCCCAATAACTCTCCAATTCATTAAAAAGTTCATTTACCAAATTAGGAGCTTCATTGACAAATCTTGGTGATAAAATAGCTTGTGTAAAAAAATTACGATTAAAACTCCATGATTTATAATCTTGATTTAATAATATTCCTTTTCCTAACGCTCCTAATTCATGAAATCCTTGACCATTTTCATTAGAAATTTTCTTAATAAATGGATTTTTTGCTGAAGCTAATATAAGTTTTTGAATTTGTTCTATTCGATTTAGTCCTATAAAGCGTACTTCAAAATAGAACTCAAATAAATCACCATATTTTTTTTGATTAGTTTCGAAAAATTTTTTGAGACTTCCACCATTCGAAATATATAATTGAGGTAAATTTCCAAAGTATGGAAATGGAAAAGGACCAGGTAAAGGATTGATACGAGTAAAATATCTATAATAATAATATGTCACATAAGTTATTAATGCGATACCTATCAATGAAAGGTAATTAAAATTTTCGAATAATTTTGAGATCATATTATTATTATACTTTATAATAAATGAAGGGAAAATTTTAAAAGATTAATAAATTAAATTTATTTTCTTGATATAACCATAGACTTTTGAAAGTGATGTATTTATATTAAATTTTTACCATATGAATGATTGATTTTTTTTCCGTTCCGGATAAATTTGTTCTTAGAAATAACCGAGCTTTCGCTTAATTATTAAATTATTATTTTATTAAAAATGTAATCTAGTATTAAAGCAGTTTTATTTCTTTTTAACATGCCTTAATTTGCTATATGAGTTGAATGTTAACGTAAAATACTTAAAAAAAAATTTTAAAATACACTTAAAATTGCAATTAAAATATAATTTAAGTATAATTTAAAATTTTAAGTATATTCTAATTCTATATAAGTACATTTTTTTGGTACACATTTTTTTAAATTGGGAATAATGTAATTATAATGTCTGTAAAGGAACTTTTTCGGCAATTAAATTTATTCAATTTTAGCAATTGCGATTTTTATTTAAATTCTCTCTAATAAGCGAGGTAAATTTTAAGTAATGACACTCTGTAAAAAAAAGTCGATCCATTTTTTATATTCCATCTTTTTTTTCGTAAAAGGCTCATATTTCCGAAATTTTCCGTGAATGGGTCCGTGAAAGGCTCATTCGAATCGTGATTACATCATTAAAATTTTTTATAGAGGCAAAATAAATATTAAATGTTTAATAATTCAAGAATTGGTAGATCTTTATATATTAATTAATATTAAGTAGTAGTAATAATAGATTTCATTATCATTAAAAAAAATTTAACATTATTAGAACGTAAAAGAACAAAGGATCGTCGATTATAAAAAATTCAATGTTTCAAAAGGAAAAGATTAGCAGTAAAATTATGATGTTTTGATTAACCAATGATTTTCAAAAAATGTGATTGGCTACTTTATAATTAAATTGCGTTGTAGGTGATCCTATTTTTTTTAACTAAATTTGTATTTATTTATTGAAAATTTCGTACTACATATATTTTTCCATTCGATATTTCTATAAATAGCATAAAACACTAAAGACGGTAATTGTTAAAAAAAGGAAAGGTCAAATTTATGAATATAGTAAAATTAGTAAAATATTTATATATGGTATTAAAATCATTCTTAAATGGGATCAGCATTCCAAAGTCTTATGTTACTAATCTAGTCTAGTTTAATCATGTCATGTCTCGACTTGACCCCATCACCCATAGAACAAAGGGTCGAAGGGTGCTTATATCTGATATGGTTTTTTTTATTATGTAATCATTGTTTCATATTATCTAATAATAGTATTTTTTTTTTTCATTGTATAACCTATAGCCCTACACAGCCAATTCAATGGTGTGGCTTATTGGTGGTAGATAGACTATTTAATCTTCTAATATGTAAGCTGCGCATTATTAGTTGGCTATAAATAATTAGTTGACGATAATTTTGTGGTGATACTCATTTTTTGAAAATCATTATAGTTGATAACAAGAAAGAACAATATCCTGATTAAAATACATCATGTTTAGTTTTTTAGATAAATTTTGACGGTTACTATTAAATTTCTTGTGACATTACAGGTGTAATTCATGTAATTCATGTGTCATTACGTAATTTTGCCAACTTGGATAACAATGTAAACTTAATAAGAAAAAAAAATCACAGGTTCACAAAATCCAAAAAACCAATTAAGGACACGGTAATGGTACCGGTCATTATGCCTGAAAAAAAAATTAAATAAATTTTTTTTTACGAAGGTTCATATACATACATATATATGTATTTTGAAAAAAAGGAAAAAAAACTGTCACTTGAAAAATTTTTTAATTAAATAATATAGGAAATTTCAATTAATAAGAAATTATAAATAAGTAATAGATGCACTTCATGCAAGGGGATGGCCAGAAATGACGTAATTTAAATTTTAGGATTTTTGACCCCCTTCATTCATTTTAGGAAATGTAAAATTAAAACATAATTCTGGCTAGAATTATATTAACTACAAGTGTCTAAAAATGGAGGGTGTGTAACATCATCATGGTCTTAACCCCCTCCCCCTTAGGAAATGACGTCATTTCTGGCCACCCAACCATTGCAACCATGCAAACACCAAATATATATTATTAAATAGGGAGTAGCTATATCGGTCACAGGGCCCTGATGATGATAATAACATTTACCCCATTTTTTTACTTCTCAATGTTTGATAAAAATATCGTATCTTCAAGGAACTCGTTTTGCCGCCTTAAATATTTTAATTTTTCTCATTAAAATAATGGCTTCTCGTCCCTTGTTTATATTATATTTATCATTGATTTTATTCGTATATCTTCTTATTGTCACCTTTTACTATCTAAATGATACGCTACCAACGCCGTTACCAGTGGAAATAAAACCCACTAACGAAGAAATATTTGCTTTACAGGATAATGTACGAATTCCTTTCCGAACAAAGATGGAATGTGACGGTTATAATGAATTTAGAGAAATCCCTTTTGAACAATTATGGTTTTGGCCATCAGTCCGCATCTTTATTGGTATATGGTCAGTGGCAGACAAGTATGAGATTCGACATCTCATAAGAACATTAAATTTAAAACAGCGACGAAATTTGGCTGGTGATATTGTAGATTTCAAGTTTATTCTTGGAATACCATCTGATAATAATCCTGAGTTGAAATTAAAATTGAAGGCCGAAAATGACACCTATGGTGACCTCGTCATGCTAGATATGGTGGAGAATATGAATAATGGAAAGGGATATTATTATTGGAAGTGGATAGCGGAGCAACTTGACACTACACGATACGATTATGTTTCAAAGGTAGATGATGACTTATTCATCCACTTTCAAAATTTGGCACTTAACCTTCGACCATTGACACGAGGCCATTTGTATTATGGAAACAAGTCGCCTCATAGTTTTTTTATACGTGGCACGATTGAAGTACTATCAGTTGATCTTGCTCACTTGATTGCCTCATTTCCATTTAAGAAAAGAGAATGGAATGGACCTGAAGATGTACAATTGGGAGCCTTTCTGAATAAACATGCAAAATCTCTGAATACAATAGGAGAAAATTGCTTAATTTTTACTGACCCAAGAATTAGAAAAGTTAGACGGAAAATGTGGAGACCATGGGCATCTCCAAATTCGATTGCCATACATTGGCTAAAAGATATTCGCGCATGGAAAGGTGTTATTGATTTATACTTTTCGGATGATAACTAATTTAATAAATCTTTTTTGGATTACATTAAACAATATATATAAGAAGGTAATTTGTTATAGTATGATATAATTATTAGTATAAGGCTAATTTAATTTAACCTAATAGTAAATTTTATATAATTATATAATTTTGCCCAAATTTCAAAAAAAAAAAAAAAAAAATTGTAACAATCAAAAATGTAAGAGACATTATCAAAATGTAAGAAACTTGGTCATTATATTCCATAGTAATGTCCAAATAAATAATATCTATGTAAAGTGAAATAAATAATTACACAAATTTTTTTTTTTAATTAAAAAAAAGTAATTGGCAAAAAATCACGTAAAATATAAATTTTTGGGGAGGGTGATTTAACCCAGATTATTTAACCTAGGTGGCAAGTTAGCAATTATTATTATAGGTGGAAGTGTAAACTTTATAAAGATTAAATCTCTGTATTACTGTCCAACAAATTTATATAATATTGTATAATATATATATATTCAAGAAATAAAATATTTATTCATTAATGTAAACTCATTTTACCTGAAACGATTCAAGTATATATATTTTTGAGCATGAAAAATATGCTTAATATGTATAAACTATTTGGTTATTATAATGAACTTTTTTTTTTCCAATCGTTTATATAGGTTTACTTATTTTTTGCCAATATCTTATAATTTCTAACTTTGGAAACAAAAATTGAATACTTTCTTTGGAATTCTAATTTTTATACATAGCCGTAATAGAGTATTAGGGTAAAGACTCCAAAACAGACAAAGATATCTATCAATGAAAATATTAACCGAAAAGTGAAATCAAAGTAGAAATTAACCGAAAAGTTATGAAATAAAGGTAGAAATTTAAAAACCAAAACAAGATTAGATATGTCAGACACATCAAATATAAAAAATGAACCAAAACTTACCAATTAAATATGCAAATTACATTCACTGGAGATTATTACAGAAAAAAGTTGGGAGGGTAAAAAAGTTAAAAAAGCGTTTTGCGTTAAACTGGCTACGTAATAATGGCATGATCATAATTTATGTAAGTTTCTCTCAGCCCAATGTTTCGCCCAGTTGCTCTTTTGAGTTTTGGCGAGAACGGAGTATATGCCATGACTGCATGATTATCCTATAAAATAGGATAAATAAATTAGAGATTTAAACATAAAACACATTAAACCAATAAACCTCATGTTCCATGACAACATACATGCAACATCTGCAACATCTTTGTTGTATTATAATTATTACCAATTATATAAAATATGTATTAATCATTTCTTTTTGTGGTGATATCTGTTCTACAAATTTATTTTTATAATTTTTATTTTTCAAAAAAAGGAAATTTTTGAAAAATCATTATCTGTAATATTACAACTCTCTGACTTCAAAAGTAGTAATAGATTGCAACCCTATTGCAATACATCAATTACATACTACATCTTTAGGTTTATCAAATTTCACTGTGTATTTTGCATATCTTGTATTGCATCACCTATTAATTCTTTGCTAGACCTGCTGTGCCACAAGAAACTAGCCAATATTTATATCAACAAAGAGGTTAACACCAATCAAATACAAATATGCAAATACAACTGCCATTAAAAAAATTTCTAGGATTTTTTTGAATAATAATAGATCGGTATAGTATAATATATATAAAAAATTTTTTGATATTTTTCAATGACAATAAATCAAAAATTTTTTGGGATTTTTTTTTAATAACAATAGATAATGAATAATAGATATTCTTTAATAACAATAAATCAGTATACTATTTCTTCCTTTTGCCTTCTTTTTTCTTTCTTTTTCAACTTCTTCATTCCTTTCTTTCATCCTTATTTTTCCATTTTGCTTCTCTCCTTCTTTCCTTTTCATCTTTTTTATTCTTTCCTTCAAATAAAAGTCTTGTCCACTAGTGATAGCTTGCCCATTTTTATCATTCAGAAAACATACAGAATAATATAGTATGGAAAAAAATACAAAAATGTTTTAGTTTCGCGCATTAAAATTTATGCATAGAAATTTTTAATGACAAATGACCAAATGACCAAATGATTGATGTCATTTGTCATAATCATACTGACACCCTTAATTGTGGCGCAATTTTATATGATCATGTGAAATTTATTTATACAATTTACAGTAGGATTGCATCGTTCAGAATAGAAACTGTGCTGTATAATCATAAATCATATTTTTGCAAATGATTCAAATAATAAATACCAAATGATTCATGATTATTATGACAAGGGATTAGACAAATCCTTTATAACAAGGTCATTTCTGAATACTGAATATTTATACTGCAAATACAGCCATGATGTTCTTTTCCAGTTTAACTAAATCCTTCAAATGCTTATCTACTGGTGGTAGCATTTCGAATATGCTGAGTAATGGTTACATTGCTCGTTATAATACAAAGGCTAATGTTTTTTTTAACCGGACGCGAGAACTCAGATATTTCAGAAATGCATTTAGTAATGAGCAACCTCGACTTCATGTTATTCTAGGACCTCCTAGTACTGGAAAAACTGCCTTAATCCGTGAGATAACTACTAAAAATGAAAACTTCAGCCCTCTTTTTATTAACTGCCGTAACGGGCAGTTTGACTCTCCAGAGAATGTATATAATTCTCTTTCCATCCAATTCAAAACACTTGCCGATAAACAAATGAAATACCTGGAGAAATTGCCAAATGAGCTGGAGATCAAGGATAAGATTCTTGATTTTGTCAATTTTGTTGCTGAAAAAGGAAAGGAAAAAATTACCTCTGATAGGGTCAGTGAATTGCTTAGTAAGATTGTTGGTACTCTTCGGATTGGAACTTTTGGAATGGTTATAGAATACCACAACCTATTTTGGTTATTGATGAAGCAAACTTGTTTAGCCAACTTGGTAACAGTTCGAAGGAAGGGGCATCCCTTCTCAAATCATTTCTTAACTGGATACAAAAGAAGAAAGACGCTTTCATGCTATTCTTACCTCTTCCGATTCATTTTTTATTAATTAGATTGAAAGTCGTGAGTCATCTTATAATCCTTATAATCATATTTGATAACAATGTAAAGGTTATAATTCTCTAATTTACATTTGTTTCAATAGAATTGCAAATTCCACATGTAACTCCATATGTTGTTGGAGATTTGAGTATAGGAGAAGCTGAAGATTATTTTGAAAAGCATGTTCTTCCTCAACATGGTATGTCCCATCAATTTATATATACAGAATATTCAAATAATGGTAATTTTTTGTCCAAATAGGATGTGAAGAACTCAAAGGCAAATTTGACCATGTCAGAAGGATAACGGGTACACGTATGCTCATCATTAATATGTATGTTAGTGAATACAAAAATAATGGAGGGAAACTTGAATGTACATATCAGATTAATTTTCTTTAAAAGCTGCGAATTTCTATTGACTTAAAAACTTAATGTCATAACTAATTATTTTGCAGATGATGAATTTTCAGTTTTCAGGCAAGAAGATGATAAGTTACGAACTGGTCTTGATCCTTTTGGTTTTCCAGGCGAGCCTATTGACCCACTCTGGGATCGAAATGATTTAATCAAAGTTATGAAAAAAATTGTGGAGGCGGAGAATAAAGGATTTGTCTTAGAACGGGATCTGATTGAAGAAATTGGAATAAGAAAACTTCATTCACTTGTTTATAATAATTTTTTACACCGTCGACAAACCAATATGTTTGCCAATGACATTAACGCACCAAATGAAGTAATTTTGACTGCGATGAATCAGCCGTCATTGCGTGCTATGGAGCGTCTTCTAAAGATTCTTGCATAGTTAGAGAAGGTTTTGTAATTAAACAGTTGGTACGATTTCCAAAAGTCAATAATTATTTTTGTACAAGCTCTATCAACTTTATTTTGAAAACCCTGCTAAAAAGCGAAATAGGAAATTCATTGTCAAAATTTTGGTCCAAGGATCCACAAAATTATGAAATTATGAAATTATATCATGGGATCACGAGTCTACATCTCTTGTCTAGTACTTTGATTTATTATAATGTTTATTATACTTAATTCACCAAATTGAACTTTATTATTATTATTTAGATAGATTTGGAATCAATGTAGTCAATAAAAGACTCGGGTGTAAGCCGTACAGATTTCATTGATATCTTAACTCCAGCTGTAATTATTTCAGATTTTTAATTCCGGTCGAACTATTTATGAAATATTTATTTATTAGAAGTTATCATTTATGTCACATGATTAGGAAGCTAATTTTTTTTTTGCAAGAGAGAAAAGATAAAAGCGACAAAAAATTTAAAAAAGGTATCACTGTGAATATAAATCAAAAATTTATAAATTTTAGTTTTGATTTTATAAAAATAGTTCTCTTATTTCTTTTACATATATGTAACTGGTAATATATTATATTACATAATTTTTTTTTTAATATACAAATGTTAAAAGGGTTAATGCTTCATACTTTATTTAAAAAATTTGTAATTTAAAATTCAAATACATAACAGATAACGATATCGTGGGATAATATGAAATTTATGAGATAAAATATAGAAAACAAAAATGAAAATATTTAAGTATATATAATAATGACGTTAAAAAAAATACTTGAAATGGGTTATTGAAAATTTTAGTAAGATTTTTTAATTGTCTGTTTATGGAATACCAAACGTTTTTAATTTCATTTCTTGAACGCAATCTTTCAAATACTTTTTCCATGTTCGATTATAAATTCTTCCATGGAATTTTATTATTATTATTATTATAGGAGAGATACTATTCCACCCACTCGTAAATATATTCTTTTTCTCTATGCGTAAAAAGTACGTGGATGGTTAAACAGACTAAAACAAAGAAAAAGTTACTTCAAAGATTCTTTCTTTATAAAAAAAGGATTTAAAGTTATAATTATAATAATTTACTTACGTCGCGGATCCAACTTATTGCACGACCAATGTTGGTATTTAAGCATTTAGCCGTGGTCACAAACGAAAAATGCCAATATAGCTCTTTGACCTCATTATAACGGTTAGTCTTCATAAGATACAATAATTCCATATTAAAATGTTATGGTCCTACTTGGGTTAGACGTGATCTACATTGTAGGGTCGATACTGTACGTCTGATAAAAATAATAAAAATAATTCAATTAATGACGATAAATAGTACATAGTACTAATTTTAGCGAAAATGAAAAAATAGTTTATCGAAACCTATTAATTTTTAATATTATGATATCCGTTTAATATAATATAACGGAATTAAGCTGTTTTAACATAAATTTTCCATTAATAAATTTTTATACTTATCATTAATATAATTTACATAAATCTGTAAGGTTCGTGATTATACAGTATATGAGTATATCTTTATAGAAAAATTTACCATTTGTATTTAACACCGCGTAATATTTATCTACTAGAAGTAGAGTTTCGATCCGTAGCGGTTTTATCCGGTTTTTATCCGGATACCGGCTCGGTTAATTTAGGCTGGGACCACCAAAATTAATAAAAATTTATGGAATAATATTATTTTAATTCTGGCCGAAATTATAGTCCACTCAAAGCCGAAATTTGTAACCTTTTTTAATCATAATCCCACGTTAAAATATTTGAGGTTTTATCCGGATCGAAACACTAACTAGAAGTTGGAACGGTTTACCTGAATATATTTGCAAATTATACTACAAACTCTGCAAAGTGTTCAAAAGAAAAAACACCATGAAAAGAATTTCTCCGTAAAATTAATAGGTCAGATATCATACAGTACATTATATTTAATATTTATTTTAATAAAATTAGGATTATAAAATGGATAAATTTATTTATTATTATGTTATTTAAAATTAAAAAAAAAAAATACAAAAATAATTTTACAGAAAAAAACGCCCGCCTTTCAGTTTAATTATTACAACACACAAGATATATTTTTCTTTAAATTTTAAAAAAAATGTAATATTCAGTATATCATTTAAAAAATCCCTGCAAAATCAATGCCTTGACCATTCTTAGTAATCATTACTTTATTAGGAAGACGATTCCTAATTTTATTTCTATAGCAATTACGTTTGGAATTATGAACTTTTTTGGTAAGAATACCATTGCTGTCACAGTCAATACTCACATTATCAAACTTATGCCTAAAAGATTTAGTACCACCGGAACCATCAGGTTGTATATTTAATCCTTCCGTAAAATCAAAGAGGACATTACGGCATTCGTCAACAATTTGAAGTCCATAAGTTGCGCTCGTATCATCGAAGCCCTTGCTGAAAATTCCCACAACCTCGGTACTGCCACATTCATCTTGAGAAAAGATTACAGTACCTACAACTGATGGATTTCGTTTGAAAATATTTGTGTTGAAATCTGCGTTGACTAAAGCGGAATTACATTGATTTCGTTTTTCAAATGTTTTGGGCAATAATTCACTACCATTTGGAAAAGCTAACGCAATGGTAATTAAGAATAAGAGAACTAGAAATGATAATAATGTATAGTATTTCATTTCTTTTTTTTTAAGAGAAAAAGAGTCGTTATTATTATTATCTTAAAGGAGAATCAAATTCGTGAGGAATGGGAAGTGGGAAAAAAATCACCCTTTTTATATTCCTCGCAAGAAAGGAGAATCTATATTAATAAAATATTTCTTCAATTTCTTCTTTATTTGATCTATTTTTAACCAATTACTACTAAAAAAAAAAAATGTAAATATGCATGCATATGAGTGTGACTAAGATCAGTAAATCTTCTAAATATTATTATCGAATTCAATTATTCAACTCGGAATTTTCTTCTTCTGTAATAAGCTAGCTTATCATTTTTTTTTAATTTTAACGAAAATTAAAAATACCACTTTGCGCTACATCAAAAATAGTCTTACAAGAATATTAGAGTAATTCAACTTAATTTGGTTAATCCGAATGGTCTTTTCACAATGATAACAAAAAAAAGGGTATTATAAAAGTTTAAAAACAAACAATAATTACGTCTTATGCAAACTTTGGATAAATTTATTTGATTCCGTCATGATGATACAAAAAATTTAAAAATAGTATAAAAAAAAAAAATATTATTATGGTCGTAATAAATTTGTATTTAAAATAATAATAGAATGATATTAATGATAATTCCGTTTATGCATAATGCAAATTTTGGATAAATTTATTATGATGACACAAAAAATTTAAAAATAGTATAAAAAAAAAAATACTATGGTCGTAATAAATTTTGTATTTAAACAAATAATAGAATGATATTAATGCTTTTTGTACGACTACAATAAACAAAAACCTTATTTATCCATAATTCCGCTTATGCATAAAAAACATGAATTTATAACATAATTAACGATATATTTTAAAGTATCAGAGAAAACAACATAATAATAATACGTACTTTTTTTTTAATGTTCAGATCCGCTTTGTTAATGAATAAACCGGGTCGAAAAATTCAATCCAGTTAATATCGGCTAATGAATTTTCAATCCGGTTTATTAGGTTTATTATCGGGTTCAATCTGGGTTAACCGTTAACAACCTGTTATTAACCCTGTTATTCATCCACTAAGATAACGGTTATTAACGGGTAAATAACAGATCTATTTATATATTTTATGTGAAACAATTAACGGTTTTCGGTTAATCTGTTAATCCGTTATGAATCCGGATTAAGGGTACTCAATACCCTTGATCGGATCCAACTGGTTAAATCCGTTGGTCGATTTTATATCCGGATGATAAGCGTTACCCTATAAAATTAAACCGGATACCCAATAATATGGAATGCCAAGACATGCAAAATTGCGTTTATTTTTACGTTTATTAAATGCTTGTTTAACGCCTAAAGTGTGGGTTTAAACTTTATTTTCATATTTAAAGCTTTTAAGTTTTATTTTAAAGCACTTATTATTGAGATTTCCACATTTAAATTTTGTGTTACGAAAAAGAATTTTTATTGAAATACTAAATTTGTGAATAAACAATTTATAAGAATAGAAATCTCATATTTGTAAAAAAAAAAAAAAATTATAAACTGTTAAAATGTAAAAATAAAACGTTTAAATCATATTTTAAGAATAAATGCAATTTTGTCTGTCCTGGTGTGTCAAACGATAATAAAGGATATTCGTTTCTATCCGTTATTAATGGTTTTACGGGTCTGAACACTACTATTTTTTTATTCATTTTTGGAAATTTTCAATCTATATACCTTATAAAATTTTGGGGATAAACTTGATTACCTACTCTGAAAAAGAAAAAGAAAAAATTTATTTTATTAAATGAATAATATAAAATTATTAGATTATAGATTATGTATATTTTTTTTATTTTATGCGTTTAGGAGATCTATTCATAATGAAGAAAATATATAATCTATTTATTTTATAAAAATTGATTGTACTTTATAATAAATAATTTTTGTACTACAGATACAATAACATTGTAAAAATAAATAAAAAAATAAAAAAAAATAGTAAAGAAAATGTTTTTTATCTCTTATTCAAAGATCCAAAAAAGTCAGTAAACCCTATTAAATAGAGATCACTCTTAAAATTAAATGCCAGGATTCGGCGCCAAAAAGTATATAAACGAATAAATACTTCGTGATGCAATTATGATTTACAAAGTTATTCATCTGGTTATCATAAAGTGATCAATATTAGATGATCAGAAAATCTTACCGCAAGTACTGTAATATCGCAAGCGAAAAGATGAAGTAATTTGGCATTTTTAATAGAATTTAATTTAAACTGTAAATTAACTAAAACGTATAGAAAATGATTTGAAATACAACCTTTTAATTAAACCTTTTTTTTTTTTGACGAAATAAAAAATATTACCAATTGCAATAACCGCATGATATTATTTTATTCGATTATATAAGCTGATAATGTTTTTTGAATTAATTGAATCTAGCCTTTCCTAAAAAATTAAAGTGGTTAAACTAAAATTGTCTTTTGATTTTTAACTAGGGATGCTTCTTTGCACGTTCATATGATTAAAGAAACTGTTTAACGAAAATCATGATTTTAATAAATTTCGGGATGGAATATTATTAAAAAATATTTCTATTTAAATGGAAAAAAAAAGTTTTTTTCTTTATGTCAATTTTGCTTTGCTGAAATCTAGAGCAAAATAAAGGGTTTGAATCCTTGTAACAGCCATGTATATCGATAAAAAAAAGTAAGATTACCGACGATTGGCCAGATTAGATTAGATTCAGATCACTTAAATAAATAATGAATTAATAGTCGCTGCGCTTATCGTTCTAGAATAATCATATATCGTGACCAAAAAATTACGTCATCTTTTTAATACCCTGAGAATTGAAAATCTTACTTTGCTTATTAATTTTATATCATTTGCTGTATTTGATTCATTATGGTAGGTTACCAATCAAGAGTATATCAAGAGTCTATCTAATTATTAAGTCTCGGTATATTCAGAGAGAGATTCTCTTAAAAACTTTCCCAAACTCTTTTCTTTAACTAAACTCGCTTTCATACTCAAATCTGCTATGGAATGAAAACCCACCATTGTTAGTAGGTAAGCTTTGCAAATGCTAATTAGATAATTCACCGACTTGATGCTATAAATGAGGAACTTATTAAAAGGGTGACTATAGTACGAATTCATGAAGCTTAATTTAATGATATTAACGCAATTGGTGCCTCATGCTTCGTATTCTTCGTATTCTTGGATGCTTCTCCTCACAACACTCTGCTTAGTAAACAATCTGAGTGTTAAATTGTTTCTAAAGGCACTCTTTTGCCTCAAGGATTGGCTTTTGTCTATACAAACAAGGTGAAATCCCGGTTTCCTTTCGGAATACAAAAAGGATGTCACTTTTCATCATCCCTACAAAGCGCGTGACATTAGCAGATTATAGTTTTTGTGATCTTAAGGACATATTCGAATGGCAAGAATCGTATTTCAGCATTGTTTCTAATGTTTCTGACTCTTATGCCGGTAAGAAAATTTGTTCATTTTCTTTTCAAAAATAAAAATGTGACTAATTTATGACATTTTTTTGCGATCTTGATAAAATAGAAAATTCCGAATCCTTTAGAATCCTTTAGTGTCAATAATACTGATATTATTGAAGAGGATCATGATAACATATTAAAAAATGTTGGAAAGAAAATAAGGGAAATAATATTGACTTTATGGACAAATACGGTTTTTTAGGGTGGAAGAAAGAGTGGGATAATAGTAATATTACGAAATTATGTATTAGCGAGTTATAATTTTTTCATTTACGTAAACTTCTATAAATGATATACTGTTATTCTGATTTTAACGAATATTTTTTCGCTAAGAAAATAATTCTGATTATAATGCTAAAAAATAAATCCATATCTGGCAAAATTTTTATTTGCAAATATTTATTATACATATACACGCCTACACAAATTTAAAAATTGATGCCATTTGGGATGAATACTGATTGCGGTTAATCTATAGTCCAAATGGGACGACTGGTCCCAATCAGAATGCAATATCGACTTCAAATAGATGGGACTTTTGATTTTTATTCCATGCATTTTGTGAAAAAATTAAAAAAATTACAGTTCTAGAGGAAATAGGATGGGTACATAAGTACATTAAACGAGATTTGTGTCTAATCCGTTGTACAGATGATTTAATACAGTAATTTCACTATTTCTGTGGCTAATACTTGTTATTTCTTTTAATTTCTTTCGTTTTCAGCAAATTTATTAATATACTTTATAAGAATGCTATTGTTGTCGACAATATTAGTACAATATAACAACGTTGATTTAATCTATAATAAAACTTAATGATGCTGAGTTATGAAAGTCTAAAACTAAACTATCCTTTATAGCTATTCCTAACATGATATTAAAATTAACAAGTCTGAAATTAAATGACTTAATTATTTATAAACGTTGTTTAAATTATTCAATTATTCATAAATAATCACAAAACATTAACCCCGTAAAATATATTTCAGTTATAAAAAATTTGTGTAACATAATACTTTACGTGCCGCTGCGGTATATATAAAATATTAAATCTATTTAGAGATGATATAGTCCTTTTTAATAAGAAAACTAAGAACTTCTTAAATAAGACAAAACAAAACTTTAAACATAACTGCTAACCAAAATACATATCAGATATGTTGTTAGACTAAACTGTACGCTGTATCTATAAAAAAAAAGAAAAAATCTGAGAGCTAAAAAAAAATACAGAAACTAAAAACTATAAATAATATAGCCGCTTCTTCCAGAAAAGTATCATTGTCACGACTAGGAAACGGGAACCGTTGTAAGTCCGGAGCGAGGTATAATAAATAAAGATGTAGCGATATTCTACTAATTAGCAGCATAACGCCTTGGAATTCCGGTAATTTTCTGCTGTTAGCAGCATAACGCCTTGGAATTCCTGGACAGAGAAACTCACGTGATTGAAAATTTACACGTTATTTCCATAGATCATCATAGTGCGTAGACATACTATATAGTCCTTCGCTTCGCTCTGGACAACAAAACTCTTTTCCCAAGTGATAACCGAATATATCTCTTCCATTGGATGTCACAAATGTCACGTATCACCATAAATGTCGGCTTCCACCCGCAGCCGTCTTTAAAGGTCAAAAATTTCTTGTCAGACTTTTTCATATGT